CACACAAAAAGATCGGATTTTTTCAAAAAATCGGAACTGAGCATTAAGACCTGCAGTGTGAACGTAGCCCATGATACTAGAGCCTGTCTGTATAATGTCTTGTGACGTTCAAAGTCTACCCCAGTTACCACTACTGTGCATGTGTGTCAAGGACAGAAAGGCAGATGTGGCAGTGGAAGGTGTCAAAGCAGTTTGGAGAGAAAAACAAAGTAAAGAACAACAACAAAAAAAGGAAAACGATTAATCGATTAATCTTGGCAGCCCTATGTCAAATCTTCTGTGCAATTGAAAGAAAAGGATAAATAAGCAATAGATTATTGTTTACGGTTTAAATCAAGGTACCCACAGATCCTTTTAAAGCACTAAAAGGCATTGAATTCATCAATCCAGGTCTYATCAAGGCCTTAATTAGCCTTAAAATGTCTTAAATTAATCTTTCAGAGGTCTAAATAATGTAACACATTGTAAGTAGGATGATTTCTATTTGTCTCAAATATTAAAGTAATTGAGAACATTTATTTATTTGAAAAATAATTAATAATTTACAGCTAAACTGAGTTTTATTTTTCATTTGTGCTTATTGTGTAGTTGGTTTTAAATTAAATTTCAAGTGGCATTCAAGAGGTCTTAAAAAGTCTCAAGTTTAACTTGCCTTAAGCTGCAGGAACCCTGTAAATGAACTTTTTTAATTGTGTGATTGTGGGTGCTTCTCTAAATTGACTCTTGTTTCTTGCAGCTCTGCAGTGTGTGGACAATAAGGCACCTTGTGTGAACAATGCTACATGTCATGCCTTTGCCAATGGCACCGGATACTGCAGGTAAGATCCACTGGAAAGTTTCTGACCAAACACAGGCTTTTCAGGTGTATTTATGCAGCACACATTGCATTCTGTTTAAGGACAGAAGTAGAGAGACACTTTTTTATGGTTTTCTTTTAAATCAACACCACCCTCTTCACGGGATCATGAGGTTTTGCTTGGTCACAAAGAAAACAAAAGACCGCTTTGTCTTGACAAACTGCACATATCTCCATTTCTAACTTTTTATTTGAAAATTGCATCAGGTGTTTATTGGTGACTTTTTTGTTGCTGTAAAATATTACCTTAAGGACTTGTATATTTTACTGCCCACTAATATGTCACTATTGAGGATGTCAGAACATTGAAGAAGCATCTTTAGCACATAAAAAAGACATTTAGTTTACACAAAAAATAAGAAATTGACTCATTGTTAAAAATGTTTGTTAGTCTAGACTTGTGTAACTTGGAGCATGCCAAGCTTGTGTCGACTAAGATTAAAATAACTTGTACGTCTTCCTTTTGCTCAAGGAAAAGGGCCGTAGTGTAGAAGAAGTGTGCAGTGACTTCCAYTTTCTGAGAACTTAGCCTAGTTTGTAATTAAGTCTGAGCAGTGTTTTTAATTGCTCTCTCAAGCCAAATTCCCAACAGAAATGCACCATAGTTGGTTCATGGACCTGATGGTGTTTCATCAGATGTGGTGAGAATGTTGCAAAGTGTCTGTTCCCAGAGTTTTTGGAATTTCAGAACTTGGCTGCCGCTGTCTAAAGTGAAGATAAAACTGCACATTCTTAATAAGTATTTAAGATTTTCCCTGTCTTGTTGAAGGTCAAGTGGACATTTTGTTGCAGGTGCAGTTGTTGTTTGTTTACATCCTGAGCGTGTGAGATTATGCTTCTGTTGGGGTCCACTTGACTGATGTTTTTATTCTAGGAAACCTGAGCAGATGTTCATTTTCAGCACAAGTAAACCATATTTTTACAGACAGGAAGAAGTGTATAAAGCCAACATTAAACCTTAACACAGCTTGTGTGGTCAAGTTGTTATAAGTGGTCTGACTTTATCTTGCTACAACTTGACAAAACTCAATAAAGCTGCATTTGACTGCTGTAAGTTTTAGAGATATTTATCAAAAAAGGAAATTTACCAGGTAAAAAAAAATCCTAGAAGCCTGTGCGTTTTCTTTATGCGCAGAGGCACACAGTTTGACTAAAACATATTATGCTTTTGAGTATTTACATTTTTTTAGTGTGCCAAACCACTTTTCAGATCTGTTTTTAAGTGTKTTGGAAACCAAACTGAATTGTTGAAACTGCTTGTGGCCCTGAGGACATGAGGGGTTGAGTTTCTCAGTGCAGAAGAGTCAGCTGACAGAGCGCAGGCTCGCTGTTAAACTGATTAATCAGTCAGTTTTTCTGCTGTCTTCCAAACGTAAACATGTKTGCAATCATACATTTTTTGTATGTGCACACACACACACAAGCCTCTGTTCAGGCTCTAGTTTCATCTGTGCTGGAACGTTGGTCAAAAGATACATTGTTCATAAATCTAATGATTTGTTTATTAGTGTCTGTAACGAATTATTGGCAGATAAACAGTCACTGAACCAGACAGAATTTAGTCAAACAGGGCTCAACTGGGATCAGAGAAGGTAACACAAAAAATACTTATATAARAAATTGCATTATAAAAATATAATACAACATAAACATATGAGATATAAAAACTTTGGAATATTTTAACACCAACTTGGAGAAATATTAAATATCCTCCAATTGTGGCATCTGCTTTAGGTAAATTATTCAGATACATTTAACTCATGAAGCGTTCTTATAAATGTCTCTCAAATATGAGCTAGTATTTCAGTCAGTTTTTAATCAGTCCAAAGTGTTTTGGTAGCCTTTCTTTTTTAAAGAACTCTGACTCATCATCTCTGTGTTTAAATGTTTGGCRCCTACACTTTTTCTTGGTTAGATCATTTGTTTATTTAATTATCTATGAAGTATTGTGTTGAATACTGTGTTTAGTGGACTTTCTGAATGACCACACACCAGCATGTTAACATTGCTAGTAAACCCCAAACTCGTTACTTTTAGTGGGCTTGTATTGGCATATTTAACAAAGGTCTAATTTTAATGCTTGAAAGGGGAATCAGAAAAATTTTGTTTTTTATTTTTGGATTTCTGTAAAAAATGTCTATTTTGCAGTTTATTGTCAAAAGTGTAAAAACAACCACTGTAGTTACTAGAGATAGGCTCTTTGTTATATTTGTTAAAGTGACTTCATCACAGAGTAACATAAATTGAGACCTACATTTTAGAAGGCCTTGTTTATTTATTTTTTATTTATTTTTTTTTTAACAAGTTCAGGTTTCTCATTTTGAATGTGGATAATTTTTTTAAAGAACAAGTACATGAGATAAGTCAGTTGACTGCTTTTTAGGGCAGGGTGCAGAAAAGCTGTCTAACCGGTGAAACTACAAGCCATCAGCTTCAGGTGTGGTCTCTAAACGTGTGTGGACRTCTTGTGTGGGAGATTTTTCTGAATTGCATCCCAGCTGACGGACTTTTAGGTCTAACATAAGATGTGACCTTGTTTTAGAGGTCATTGAGGATTCCTGACACTCACATGCAGTTTGACTTACTGTTAGTTAATTTTTTTGGCAGTCAAAGCAAACACGAGCCTACGAACACTAACTCTTTGTTTTCTGTTGGCTTTTGGTGCAAACTGATGACCTCCACCTTCCTCTCAGTGCCTCTCCTTTCCTCTCTCTTTAAAACATTTATCAGGCTTTAAGTTTTTCTTTGTTTGTTTTGGGTTTTTTTCCCACTCTTTTTAAAGAATGATGGCAGAGAGGTGCTTTGTTATGTGGACCTGCTGCCTGTTTGATCTGACAGGTAGAATTAACCTTCAGGGCAGACAGAGGAAGAGAAAGGGCCAAAACAAAAGAGGATGTCTCTTTTCAGGTAATTTGAGGAGGGATACCTTGAAGCACAACTCCTTACTAATGATGAGAGAGAAGCAACAAGGGGGAAGGGAGATGAGGCTGAAGCAGGGAGAGGAGTGTAATTTCCTTCTTGCTACACCTCCTTCATCAAACTGTCACTCATCCATCCATACCATAGTCCCTCCCTCTGCTTCAGGGACTTAAATACCTTTGGACACAACTGTCTCGACTTGCTATCCTTTAACTATCAATACTTTTTCTTCACTTCACGTAATCTCACAACCTAATCTCCCTCTCATATCTCTTGTTTTGTCTATTAGTCACTGTGCTACATCACAGAAACTTTTTGTGCAACTTCTTGCAAATATTTCAGACTCATATCCTCAGATTAGAAATAAGCACAAAGTTGACAGATAAAGACAAAGAAGAGAGATSGAAAAGTCTTGATTTTAAGGATAATCACTACATATTTTTATTCATTTTTCACCCCTTTATTTGGCCAGGAGGCAAAGTTTTAAAGTGTAGATGATCTAAACAAGTCAGCATACCGAAAAGGAGATTGTAACAGTGATTTCCCAACCYTTCTCTCCAAAAGATTTATCTCCTTCCCACAGCGCAGCCAACAGCAGTGTAGATGTGGTTGCAACTGGAACCACAGTGATAAGAGTTTCTTTGTGTATATGTTTGTCTTTGTACTATTTTGTATTTTATCTGGAAGTCCGGGGCACCTGGAGCCTAGAGCAGATTCACACGCTGGCACATGAAATCTGGCTCTCAGAATATAAACTCAATACTTGGATAATCAGGTTTTAGCTCTGGTTGACTCATRTTTTGTCAATGAGAACCAGCACTGGAGCCTAGCCTCATCATACCTTACCACGTTTTTGCACAGAACTTTTGGTTGGAGACCATACAGAAATTAATATTCCTTAGAAAGGGGAAGACTTTCGTAGTACAGGGGAATGTAACAACCAGACCATAAACCCGCACACAGTAATGTGACAAGTGACTCTCTGTCACACATGAATGTGACACTGTGGGCTCAGAAGTAGCTCTGCTTCGTCATAAGATGACACACATATTCATATTGTWCTGAACATGTAAATGATTTAACCTCTATGAGTTTTGATTTGTTTTCATTTGAGTAATAATTTAAACAAAGTCTGAAAAGAGCCACTGTCAAATGATTTTGAATTAATTTGGTTTTGTATTTAATRGGAACAAAATGTGTTTTTGTCAGAGCACTTACTGTCTGGAGAATCATTGTAGATTTGTTACAGAAAAAGACAAGTCAACTAATGGACACCAAAATTGGCAAAAAGAGCGTTTTGTTCCATCTAAATCTCCTTTCATGTCATAGTTTTTCACACCAGCAAAGACAACCCTTTCTTTAAACCGCCTTTGGTTGTTCACACCCAAACCAATCCAGCCAGCCAGGTCCCTCGGCAGTGTGTACCTTACACTCATGAAACTGGCATCATGGAATTGCAGAATGACCACAGCACTGTTGTTTAGAACCATCAACAAATATTAAAGGGGGATATTATGCATTCTCTAGGCACATACTGTATGTTACCTTCAATTGTTATGGAAATGCTGTGTATATGAAAAATAAATTTGAATTTAGCATTTACCTAGTCTATCTAAATGCCTTGACATAAACCTCTGCCTTTTTAAGAACCACCTACCGTTTCAGACACTCTCACTTCAGCACATCTCCACAACATTTCTTAGGTGGTGGGGTGTGAGGAGCTTTGTATAGGCAGTGCTTTGTACCAGCAGRCATTTAGGCAGCTCCACATGGCTACCACAGGAGATTCAAGGATTTCTCAAACATGCATGAATGAGTCAAAGCAAAACTTTGGGTATGTTTTTGATGAAGGAATGACATTATRACAYGATTTAAAGCTAAAAARTAGTTGATTTTGCATTATGACCCCCCCACCCCCGTAAAGCAAGACAGGATCCAAAGTTGAAACGACAGAAAACAAGAGCTTCCCAGTAGAWTGACTGCAGTAGAATTTTTAAGCCCCGCCCGTTTACATAGACAAATGGCAGGCACACCCATTCCGTG